CGAAAGTTATACTGCGTTAAATATAGCACCGATCTTCAAAACAAGGCATAGTTTGGTTTTTAAAGTATTATTTATTGACTAAGAAATTACTTATTTTGGAAAAACAACCAAATAAAAAAATCGACTGTATAGCAGGTCAACTTTTCAGAGTCTAATATAACTGACAGCAGAGAAGGAAAATTTCACAAAACGACAAAAAAAATGAAAAACAGTAAGAAATACAAAGTTTTAGTACTTTGTAGATTGTCCTCTAGCTTTTAAAGTTGCTGTAGGGCGGGAGGGCATGGATACTACCAACTTGTCTGTGGTGGTTTGGTCTATGTAATTATTAAGCAAAAGTTGTAGTTTCTGTCCATAGAAATATGTTTCCTTGCCTTGTCCCAATTTCTTTTGATAAATGCAAAAAAGATTTTCGATGGGATTTAGGTCCGGGCTGTTGACGGTGATAAAAATGCTTCGAAGGCCGCAGGCAGAGAGGCTGGCTGTGGTCTAGAGTATTAGATTATAGTCGTAGACTGGATTGGAATCATACCTCCTTTGAGCGGTGGACAGTGTCCATTCGACGTCTATGAATGCCATTGTAACCGAACGCATCCTTTACGATGTCGATGAACACCTTGCTATTTATCGTCTCCACTGTTGAACATCAGATCGGTCGCTCTCCGAATTTGATGGCCGTCCAAACCACCAGGCGTCGGCAGTTCTTGAAAGTTAGCGTCGACATTTCATGAGTTAGGTCATCTACTGTATATTAAAAATTCGGCAAGGTTTGGTCCTGCAGGCCCATCTGGTAATTTTTCTAAAAAAATCAGTAGATGCGAGTACGCTCACTTTAAAAATGCCGCGCATTTGCATCTTCCTTAGCATTTTAATTCTGCGAGTGACTGTGCCACAACGGGAGGAGTGCTCATATGCCAGCCTCCGTTGCTTCAGACACTGAGCGTGCTTCAAACCCTGCTTGCGCCCTCTTTACTATCCTAATTCACCGAGTGGCCAGGTAGATTTGCCAATGGAATTTTTCGGACACCGCGGAACTCCGTGGGTTCCACTACATTGGCCATTTACTGCGAAATACCGCGTGGTTTCCTCCTTCGTTTGTAGGAACGTATTAACATTTATTCTTTCCCACAGCCTTACCAGAAGTCCGGGAAAGAAATAAGGCAACTCTTTCGGAGATTAAGTTTGCAGACAAACTTCGAATATTGTAAATGTTATTCCTAGAACGCCAGAATTTTAATGTGACATTTGTATTCACTCAAAATCGAGGCAGTTCATCTGTTGGACCTCTCGAACTCTCGTTGGAAACAGTACGTGTTGTGTGTGAAGCAGGTTGTCGGAGGTACGCAGTAGCTGCCGGTCAAATGCTGCTTAAGGGCAGAAACATAACGCCGAGCTCCAGTCGATGTGAGGTGCATTAGAATCTCCAACGATGAGAGTAGTCGGCCGCGTTGAGAATAATCTGAGCTCCACCAGCAGTTCGGCATCAGCGACAGGGACATATCTCGGGGGCTCGCTGAAATTAACACCAGCAACAGTGGTCATGCGCGCGTTCACCTCGCTGATAATTAATTCGCCTATGCAAAACCGCAACTCCGAATATGTAGAGGGAAGATAGTTGCGTTTGTTGAATGACTGAGGACTCGAGCAGTTCGCAAATCACGCCGTTGTCGTATCTAGCAAGATTTCTTGCTTTCATCAAACTTGAATTTGTGGTTGGGTCCCGACTAATGAGTCAAGTTATAAAAGCGGACGTAGATACTCCTCAATGCCGCTGCGTGCTCGTGTCAGAACAGTCAACGGAAGCAAGATCTCTCCCTGCCCATATTCCACAATGAGGCCACGGCAAAGAATGTCTCCTACAAATGTCGATCCGGCGCAGCCAATGCAGCAAGAAGGCCGGGTTGCCGGTTGGGCCTATCAGTATCCAGGATCAGTAATTGTAGTCACGAAGTAGCCCAAACCGTGTGCCGGCGTCTGGTCTTACCGCAGCAACACAGGTGAACAGCTCCTCTCTGGGGAGACGGTTGCGTGTAT